TGTATTAATTAATAAAACAACTTTCAAAAATTGTGATGTTATCTACTGATTAGTCAACCTGCATTCCTGGACAAATCACACAAATACTCCTCTTCATCCCCAGCTCCTCAACCTCTTCATCAGCTCTAGAAGCATTTAAAAAGCACAAGACTATTCTGCTAACCTCTGTAAAAACATGCACAGAAAAGATATTCTATCCAAAGAAAAGATCACACACAACAGGAGAAAAACTATTTCCATGTTACCTACCAACAGGCATCAACTACTTTGCAAATAAACTGCCTTTAGGTGTAAAGAGGTAAATTTTCAAAGAAATTTTACAGTTATCCTGCACAAAGGTTTTTGTACTCTTTTCAATACAATTACAGACAGCAACTTCAAGCAATCTGACACAGGAATAAATTAACTCGGCTGATCAGAAATATGGAATACTTGTTCTAATTCATACAAAAGCTCTACCACTGTACCATGAGAGAGCTCTGAAGTCATTTGGTGTCTTCCAATTTTGTGGAAGATCATTTTCCAATGCATAGGGAATGTGAACTGTGCTAATGAGCTAGAGGCACCGAGTTTGAATGTCAGGACTCTGTATAATGTCTACAAATATCAGCTTCCTCCTTTCATTGCTCTGGAGTGCTAGGCAGAAACAGAGAAGCATCCTCCTAGGAACACACATTTAGGGCATTATCAGACTGGATCCATTCAAACCTACAATGTATTCTGTTACAAGTTTCAAAACTTTTCCATCTAGTTCCAGGAAAAGCCACTGCAGCACTATATTCATTAAAATATACCAGACTAAGCTTAGCATTTTCTATCAGAAGAGATTCAAGGCAGTACCACGAAATTCCAAACCTACACGACTATAAAAGTGACCAATTAAATACAGGTTACCATTGTATTTGACAAGTTAGTTTCCAGCAGACTTTTCTGATATTTGTATATTTGACACAACGTAGCATCTGTTCTTCTTGCCACAAGACGCTAACAACACAGCATGCTTGGTCACAGTATAAGGATGCATGATATACAACAGAGGCACTCAAAAAGCAATACAATATTTTTAGACAAAAACTGCCTTTGAAACAACCTAATATTCCACCACGGGAACTATAGTGGGCAGGGGATGCAGCAGTGGGAGAAGGCAATGGGATGGGTTCAGAAATACATCAAAGAAGAGGTATATAAAGAGGTTCAGAAAGGAGGATGAAAGGATGGAGCCATCTCCCTGCCTCTAAACAAGGCATGCACTACTGCTGAGCAGCTAAGAGCTCACAGCACTATTTTCTAGCATTCAGATTCCCTTGGCACCAGCTCTTGGCAGGTCTCCTGCTCCTATGTGCTATGGTGAGAAGATACATCCCCTTGTTCTTCTTTCCATTTTCCACTTTACTCTCAGCAATATGGGCTACAACCCTCCTGACCAAAAACCTGATTATGTTTTCCATCATATTCAATCAAGACTTCTCCATCAATTTGAAAACTACCACTCTCTTGCAAATTTGAAACAATCAATGGACTTTAGAAAACCCAAATAAGGAATAAGGCAGTTAATTGACAGAGGCGTCGAGCAATGCCAGCAGAGTAAGTTCAAAGGAAACACCTATTGGCATCTGTTTCATGAATAGCTACATTGTACATCTTCTCACATGAACATGGGAACAAAAAAATCACAGCAGGAAAAAAGGTATCCTTCATCAAGAGCTATTGAAGCATGAAGATATGCCATTTGACTCAGAAAAATCCCAGAACCAGTATTCCTATCAGCCACAGAATATCACTGTACAGTTGCTCTGAGTTTATGCTGATCCCCAGGCACCTGTCATTCACCACTATTCAACTCTCCACCACACGAAGCTCGGGTCTGACCCGTTTGTTCCCAGTATATTTTACTGGCACAAATCACTATTTAAAAGAATACAGCTGTAAGGCCATGCACACGCAGCTCTCAGATATCTTTATGTCTTCATCGGCACGATAACCATGAGTGCATGTTTTACTGTTACTGAACAACACCACAAACAAGTTGTTGAGCCACACGTCTCAAAAAGAAATGAAGCAATAGACCATATCCAGCTCCTACGCTCAGCAGAAGAAAATGAAGTTCAGCAAAATAAGTGGTCAGAACAAGAGCACAGACTATACATGGTCCCATTTTAACATTTACTTTCAGAGTAACCCAGTACATTTCAGGAACTATGTCCTGAGCTCTTACGGGGGGGGAAAAAAAAAAAAAAAAAAAAGTGACAAAATGTATCTCAAAAAGCAAAATCACCAAAACTATGCTCAGTGCAAGTCTTAAAGAAGCTGTTGTGTTAGTGCTGGTTTTGAGCTTGGAGTTTTCTGTTGCTGACACCCAACCACTGGAAATGGGATTTACATTACCAACTCATTTCTTTTTCAGCACCAAACAGTTATCAATTTGTAATGATTTTCAGCCAAAGCCCAACTCGTCTGGATTTGAACAACTGTAGCAAAACATTTGAAAAGCCTTACTTACAGAGATTATAAGATGTTATTGTTCCTGGATTTAAGACTAAAATTGGACAAAAAAGGCAACTCTCTGGAGGTAAGGGATGGAAGCAGTCATTTATTTCATGACAAGATCAGAGTTCTCATTAAGGAGAACATTCCTGTCTTTTGGAAAATTACACCAGCTAGTATGTTTCTTGAAAAATTAGGCAAATAAGTAAACATACATGATATTTTTCTTTCCAGAAAATGTGTCCTTGTAAAAATATCTAAAACTAGTAAAGAAAAAACCTTCCCTTTCAAATGTTTGGTAGTTGATGTATCATTCCAAACTTCCCTTCTATTTTGCATTATCATATTTTTCACAGTGGCTTTGAACACTAAGTAAATAGTACAATAGACTTTTTTGATTTTTATTATTATTATTATGTATTATTATTATTATTGAAGAGATAGTTGTACCTAGAGAATTACCACTTAAGGGTGAAGTGGCTTTTATGGAGAAGTTTATAACACTACAGTAACAGGCAATTACATCAGAAATATTCTAAATTAATTTGGACATTTCCTTTAGACTTTGACGTTACAATAGAAGGTAATAGGTTACCCAACAAAATTAGTAGATTTGTTAGTACAGCACCTGTATGAATGCTGTATGTTAAGTGTAAGCTGTCCTCAAGGAGTGTTCTTTTACATATTTTCATGCTGAAGGTATACAGACAAAAAACAATATATTCCAGAAATGTGGACAAGGCCCATACTGCCTTCACTAAAGGCTCTAAGTTGTGCAGTGTTCTCACGTGACCATTTCCCAAGGCAAATAATCTTTTTGCCTGACCAGTTAAGTCATAAAGGACAAACAGGTAAGTTTGGGGATTTTTTAGCCTGAAATGTTCATGGCAGCTTACAGCGCTAATCTGAACTTAATAAAACCAACAAATATATTCCAATGCTATAAAAGAGAAAAGATACAAAGAAGAAAATATATCCACCCTGTATATTTTCCTAACTTATTATATGTAAGCAGACATTGGCAGGCAGCTTTCCTTGCAAATAACTGCAATTAACAAATCAATAGGAGAACACTCTTTCAACTATTTCAACTGTTTACATTAAAGTTGGCTGTGGTTTCCACTGTAACTAATAGGAGTAAATAAAAAAATAGCATTTAGTTTATGCAGCACTGCAGTCATTACAGAAAGGCCAGGAAAGCCAAGAACTAATGAGCCTGAGTTTGTTGACATTTTCATGCATCTTGGCTCTACAGTCTGGCAGAATAGCTGGCACTCTGACAAGCTCGATGCCAGACAGTTAGCAGAGCTTTAAATTTGTTGAAGAAGGTGAAGCTGTAATAGCATTTAAAGCAAGCCATTGAGACATTAAGATTAAGAAGTTAAACTGAAGTTTTACATTGCCAGCTTTATAACTCTGAATCTGTCTCAGAAGTTTAGAGGCTGTCACAAGAACAGACAAACCAGAAAAATTCTGTAACCAAAGAATTCTTGTAGAAAAGCTCAGAATTTCCTGGGGAACTAGGAACCAACCAATTCAAGAAAGAAAAAGAAAAAAAAAAAAATCCAACAATACAGAATCAGCCACTCCATTTTTTCATCCATTTGTATATATGCAGAGAACGCCCCAGTTAATAGCATAAAATAAAAACAGAAGTATATTTTTAAAGAGCATATGCAGTTCCTAAATTAATGCTTCCTAAGTTAAATGAGGTCTGTGGATATCACTGGCTGAAGATAATTTTTTTTGCAACACTACAGAAGTACATTCGTTTGAATGTTTGCTTCAAACTAAAGAGTTGTGTTTCCCCAAATGCTTGTTATTGTTTTAGCCTTTGAAATAATAATTAAAAAATGAGAAACTGTGCCTTTGATTTTATGTGATAAAATTCAGTCCAGCTATGGTTTATTTAAGTTGACATGCAGCTTGTTTAAAAGATGGTTAAGAAGTGCCTACATCTGAAAATGCTGCAAGCCATTTCCAACATAAGAATACAAAATGCTTATAAAAATAAAGACTGTCAAAGAGACTCTCTTGAAGTTTTCATTTCTAACACTTCCTTAATTTATATCTCTCCACCAATTTTAACTGAAAAGACACAGAATCTGAACTTTGTGTAGACAGGATTTTACGAACTCCAGCTACACAATCTGACCTATTCCCCTGTCTAAAGACTTATACATGAAAAAGGAGAAAAGGTGTGAGCAGTTACTTGACTAGAATTAGAGTTGTTGCCTATTTACCTGCAATGACATCATGTATTAGGAAGGTCTGTCCTAACGTGGCCCAAAATATTTCTATTATTTTATTTTCTTGACTAAAACTGAAAATAAAAAGCTGAAAACTATCTTAAAGGCATGGACTGGAACAGGGCAGAGAGCACTAAGCTATAAAACAGTCCAGAGAAGCAAAAATGGTCATAACATAGAAAGTACCTGCTGTGTGACTTCCCTACCAAGGGCCACTAAGCCAAAATCCAACCTGGGCTGCTCCTGCCATGCAGTGGGTGCCCTCACCAGGCAGCACCCAGCCGTCCACCACCACTGCCAGGCTGCACTGTGCCTGCAGCACCCCACTCCCGCACCTGCTCCTCAGCCACTCCAATTTCAGCAAACTTCAAAATAAAAAATTCCATTCAATAATAAATTTTATTTAATATTGTGGAATGGCATTTTAGCAAGCATTAATACACTCACTAGCAATTACTATTTTTAGCACTATTTCAGCTTCTGATTAGGTTAGCAACAAATAATTATCTAAGTCTTAATTGTATATTTACACAATTACTCACAAATTTTATTAATTTTTATACAGATTTGCAAGACAAATCAGTCCAGTGCATTGCTAACATGTGTACCTCCACACACAAGAACATACATAACTGATAAATCAGAGAAGCAGTAGCACAGCTTAAGGGAAGTTTGCTTGTGCCTCCTACTCAGCCTGTTTTCAGCAGAACTGTAGGGTTCTTCCAAAGCAATAAAAACCACCAGACAGAACTCAACACTGATTCTCTGCTGGCACCAAGCTTTCATTACAATCCAGAAGAGGACCAAAAATATATTACACATGCAACTTGGAATTCTGTACAGCAGATGACCTCTTCCAACCTGCCAGGACTAGCGGGCAGACTTGTCTGGTAGGCTTGCTAGCCCCCTCCATGCCTGCCCAAAGGGCCTCCCTGAGGAGGATTCTCAGAAATTGTGGCTAATCAGCCCTTCTCTCCCTCTCCTTCTCAGTCTGGTACCCTGGCATGAAGAAACACAGGCTCTTTTGCACCCCATGTGGAATAAAGGGTCATAGTGAACATTGCAGTGAGGCAGGGGAAAGGCAGCTTGAGAAACTAAGGGATTAAGACAGTGCTAGCTGGAGCTAGTGACTGTATTTCAGCTGCATTCATTGGTTCAAATAGCAACTGAAGCTGCGTAAATGAGGTCTACAAATCTGTAGTTAAACTACCTAAAAGCCTCATGCATTATTGTTTTGTTATTGTTGGTTTCTTGATTAAAAAAGCATAACTACAACTTGTCATTAAGGGTACCCTTGCAAGAATCTATGCAAGAATAAAAAATTCTAACACTGATTTTCCATGTCACAGTTCATGCAGTTTTTCAGTTTTGATTTGAAGTTAAAATTACATCCACAGCATTCTCTTGTTCCAAAAACACAGACCAAGTATCAACAAAACTGACTTTTCTATCTCCACATAAGCAATAGGTCTTTTATTATTTGGAAATTAAGTCTAGCTATGCAACTTTACCTTATTTAATATAGTATTTTAAAGCCTATCAGCGTGTATACTTTATTTGCTAATAGCAAAACAAGTCTGAATCCTAGTTCAAAGCAAGCAAATGAGAAAGAGGAGTTAAATTAAAAGCTCAGTTCTACGCCAAATGAAGTCAGAAGTCAATTCTGCCATTGATTTTTAATGAAAGCACACTTAGTACCCACACATCTTTCAGAAGTTAAAAGAAGAGCTAAGGTTTTATATCTCTCAATCCATGCAACAATGCCATATGCTGTCACTTAGAGCTATGAATTTAAGCCTTCTTCCTTTCACAGATGCCCCCCCCCCCCAAAAAAAAAAGGCAAATGAAGGTATTGCTATACTTTATTTTGGTAAAACAGATGAATACACAACAGGAAGCCCATTCTAATCTATATTTAGCACTGAAATAAAGTGGATGCCTTCTATCAGACAAAACTTCTTTAAAGTGTACATACCCCTGTTGAAAGGAAAATATACCATTCTCTGCAGTTTACCTTCAACTGAATGTAAGCAAAAAATACAGTTAACAGAGCTTCATATGATGAATAACAGAAGTTAGGAAAATGGTTAAATATTAAACAGAATCTTCAATTAAAGTATTCTAGTGTACCATTCACCACTTCTCCATAGACGGCAAAAGAATGGAGTTGTGTTTATACATTCAGAGAACTTCAGTGTAACTCAACATTATAACACATATAAAAAAAAGTCAGCGTGCAAGCAATGTTCTGTTCAGAAGACTTCCTGATACCTCTTAGCTCTAAGAGTACGATAAATGCTACACTACACTCTAGCGCCCTTTTTCTGAATAGCAGGCAGTTCTGCCAAACACACTTTCACTTTGATTTTGATCTAGCATCAATCTTATTAAAAAGCAGTCAACCAGTTTTCTGGTAAAATGCAATGAAATAACATATTTTAAAATAGTATAACTGTTACTAAACAGTAAACAGTTATTATATTTCATTAAAATGTGTTGATTTTTACTGAATACAGAATATTTTATTTATTTAACCAGGCATCAAGTTCATTAAGTTATTCTAAAGCTTTTTGGAGATACTGTAAGATGCTGCTTTTAAGGTATACAACCAATTAAGCACAAATGCTTTTAAATGCTGAATATAGCGGTCACCACATCAAACCCTAGAACCATCTTGATTGTACCTAATGACCACTCAAGGTGCTTTGCAGTCAGCATTTCTTAGGAAAAATAACTTAAAATAATACTTTCTTTTGCATAAGAAAGCCAGAGGTCTGTTGCATAGATGAACTTTTCTTGTATAACTTGGAAACACTAGTGTTATAACTAATGTAGTATATTTGGCAAGCATGCTCACAAAAGTTAACAAAAACAAGCTTAGACTGCACCTTAGTACCTCATTAAGAGATTGACGGGAACAAGATGGACCACAACACTAAGATTTTGCACTGAGAAAATTAGCACTGCCTGGTCTGAGAAGCACTGGTATTAACTCAGACAGAGAACAACAGTACAAGGCTATAAACAGACTCATAAAATAATTCAGATTGAAAGGGACCTCCGGACATCAACTGGGCCAGCTTTCCACTCAAAGCAGGAATAATTTCAAAGGTCTCGAGCAGCCTGATCTGAGCATTTCCAAGGATAGAGACTCCAGAGTCTCACCAGGCAACCAGCTCCAGCATTTAACCACTCTCACAAAGAGTAATTTGCTTTTTCTTACATTGAAACACAGTTACCTTCTCGTTGAAACAGCCAGGATACACTGGAGCTCTTCTGCCACCAGGGCACACTGCTGGCCCCCCATTCAGCCTGCTGCCCACCTTGGTGCCCTAGGTCTTTACTGCAGAGTGGTTTCCTTGCCGGCCAGTATGCAGGCCTGCAATGCTGCCAGGGCTTGTTCAGCCCCAGGCACAGGGCATTGAATTTGCTGAATTTTGTGAGGTTCCTAATGACAAGACAGTTCGTCAACATTTCTCTGAATTGCAGCTCTATCCTCCTGCAGTCCAGCAACTGCTCCCTCTATGTTGGTGCCACCTGCAAGCTTGTTGTGCACGCCTTCCACCCTACCACCCTGGTCATTAGGAACACGTTCACCAGCTTTGCACACAGCACAAAACCCCACAGAAACCTCTCCTAAAAGCAGCTGTCTCATAGACTTTGAACTGTCGATCACTTCAGCTCAACAGTCCAGCCAGCTCTTTGTTCATTTTGTAGCCCCCGTTTATCCAGTCTGCATCTTCTCATCTTGAATACCAGGGTACTGTAGAAAATTGTCGAACACCTCTCTAGTATTCTTATCCACTCAGACAAATGTAACCACCACTATTTCAAAACCTGTCATTATGGTTAGATGATATTAAATCCATTAACCAGTTTGGCAAAGTAGGTGGGCATGCTGTTCTTCCTTTTGTCCCCTACCTCCACTTCTTTTTGTGCTACATGACTTCATTAGTCCTCTGATAGTGCCGTTACTAAATTTCTCCTTTGACCCCTCTCCAAAATGCTACATAATCTATATTTGCAAACATGAACAGAATATGAAACCAAAGCAGTGGCTCACAACAGAATTATATCGAAGGGTAACTAAATTAATAGGGTTTGATGGATTATATCCACTGTACTGTTATAAATGTCAAAGACATCACCGAAGTAGTTTTAGAGACTGAAGCTCTAAGATATTTAGGTGTTCAGATCCCTCTGAAACTACTTGAGTTTAAAACACATACATATTCATCAGAATCTCTGCTTGAGTTTCGTATGGCATAAAGGGGCTATATATATAAAAGAAAGTTTGCTGTACTTGATGTTTGGGTTTTTTTAATCTACTTGGAGATGACATATTCTAAAAGGCACTTAAAATCAACGTAATGCACTGCATTAGCTGCCTGCTTTTTCATAGAGTTTTTAAAAGAACTTAGATGTTCCTGGAGAACTAGAGGTGCCTTTTTCTTGGAGACCTGCATCTGGATTTAATTGCTCTATCTCTTTGGTATTTTAATGAAGAAATTCCCTATTAGAGGGTACAACTAACAATCACTTCTATTAAAAATAGTAAAACACATGTAAACCCTGACGATTTTACAGGCTCAGAACACCATTCAATGAAAACTCCAACAAAGAGAAATTATCAATTTTCTAAATCAAATCCTAATAGACACTGAGGAAAAAAATTAAAGGGATTATTTCCAAATTGTGTAAGAGTAATATTGAATTCAGAACTATCAGGAAAAACAAGTTCTATACATCATAAAACTGAAGAGGACAACTACTCTTGTCCTATACAAGTAACAAAACATAAGAACCCCCAAATCACCCTTTGTGAGCATCGTTCTTTCTAAAATACCACTCATTTGATTCACAATTTTCTAGCAGTTAAGAATGTAATCCATTGTTAACAAAACCAGACGTGGTTAGCCACTGTCCCCTCAGAACAGTCTGACCTTATCTCTGATTAACTTTTCTGGCAGTGGATTTCTCCAGACTGTTTGGCTTCCTTAATAAACCCACAAACTGTAGGTGCTTTATTTAAGATAAGGAGCATTTTCTTTCCACTATCTGATGTGAGCATCAAATTACATAATTCCTGAATATTTCACATTCATTCCAATTTCCTCCATTTATTCTCTCCCCAGTGCATGATTGACCTATTTTCAATTTCATTAAACTGGACTTATGAAATAAATGGAAATGTTGAAGTGCTGGTACTAAACAGAAGTATAGGGAAGAACGCCTATTCTATGACACCATAAGAAAATGAAAATACTTTATAACAAACATTGTAAGGTTGTATAAGCAGATATTGTCAGTTCATATAAAAACTGTGCCTTTTAAGGTGCTCCTCCTGAAACCTAAGGAGCATGAA